AGGAGGACGGGGACTGGGGCGGGAGGTGCGGGGCTGAGGTCGGGGGGGGGCGCTTTAACTCCTCAGGGGCCCCACTTTCCCGGTGTCCGTCCTGTGTCGGGGGCCTTCGGGAAAGTAGGCCACCAGGAAGTGAGAACTTGCTTTATTTTCATTTGTTTCGGTCTCCAAAGTGGGGACCTTCCTCCCCTACACCCCACTTAGCAGGCCTTACAGGCCTGGGGCGATATGAAGGACCCCAGAAGGGAAGGTTTTTCTTTAGGGTCAGTCCTTCGGGACACCCCTTCAGCTTCGGGGTGGAAGTGCACGCATTTATGAGGCCCCTCCCCCTTGTTTTCTTATCCAGTTGCCCTGTGATTCTCTCTCGTCTGGGCCTTTGAGCCTAGTGACAAGGCTTAGAGGCCAGCTCTGGGTCGTGTGAGACCCCAGTGTCAGTCGGTAATGAGTGGCTCATTACCGTTGTGTCCGTGTGTTTCACACATACCCACAGGTCTCAGTTCCTTGCGGAGTCAATTTCTGCAGAACTAATGCAAATTCCCGTAATTGTGTATGGTGAAAATGTACAGATGAACATATATTTAAAATATGCAGAACGATATATGTGTACAAATAATTAAAAAAAAAATCTGTGTGATGGACATACTGCTCAGGTTCCTGAGAGTTCTCTGTAATATAAGTTCTTTTGGGCATGAACTCTGGGGTGGCTTCTTCATTTGATAAGGGTTCTCGATAGTCTGATTAGCAACATTTAAAAGTCCGATATTACTGAAACAGTAGGGAATGAGAGCTTTCTGAATGGTCATGACAAATAAAGGAATGTGAAGACTTGAACCAAATAATGAGCTGTCCGGAAGCAGGAAGTTTTGTAATGTTTCTTTGAGAAGCCCAGAGTTTTGTGCAACTTGAACTATTTATACTTTGTTTTCGTTTTAGATCTCTTGTTCATATCATAGATCAAACTTCCATGCTTGTCAGATATCTCCACACTTCACCTTTTTAGCAAATGAAAAGGACCAGCAAATCTGAGACTAACAGTTTCCATTATATTTTGGCATAGGGTGACTGGAATGTGCAGTTGAATGACTTTTAGTGAAACAGTAAGACTTCTCATATAAGATTGTCAGCAAAGTCCTTGCATTTGTCACTACATGATATGACTAGCTGTATTTTGGGGTATGTTTATATAATATTTCATTTCTTCAGCCCTTGGTAGTTTATATGCAGGTGACTTAATAGGATAAAAACACTGCATAGTCGCTGTCACAGCGCCATGAAAAGACAATGGAATTTATCACCACAGTAACAGTTACTAAGTGTTTTAACTGTCATCACCAGCAGAATTAAGAATTATAACCAAATATAATGGATATTAAATCTTTCCTTAACATATTTTGCAGAACTTTTAAAGTCTCATAACCAGCCATTTAATTTTGAGCTTGACTCTTAGGACCTTTTTACATTGTTTTAAACCTAAGGAGTATAAGGGTGCTTAAAGAAGGGATTTTCAAACTTTTTCATGCTATCTGCCCACCCTTCCCATATCAAAGAAGAGCTGAGGAAATTTTGTTATTTAAAAAGTTGCAGCTATAATTGTAATGTTTCCTTTTTTTAAGGAAAAGAAAAGCTAAGCACTTTGTTGAGTAAATGGAAATAGGCAAAGTGTTCAGAACCAAGTAGGTGATCAGTTAATCTGATTGTAGTTGGCTACTTAGAGAGGTTAACAGGGTGAGAATTACTAGTGGTCCTCAAACTTAGCTGCCCATTAGAATCCTCTGGAGAGCTTAAAAATCACTGCCTTTACCCCAGACCAGGCCAGTTGAAGGCCAAGTATTGAGGTGAGGGTCCCAGGCATGGATAGTTGTGTTTTGTTTTGTTTTTAAAGTCCCACTGATGATTTTTATGTGTAGCCAGGATTGCAAGCCACTGTTTCATAGTAGTGTAAGGAGCAACTATATATGTACCAGTAAACAGTATTCCTTTCTACACTGAAAATTAATATTTCTGTGATTTCCCTCAACCACTTCCCTCTCTTCCCTGCTACCTTGGTTTTAGGCTCTGGGTTGAAATATATAGTCTGCCACTTCTTGGGTAAATTATTTATTTATGCCTTTTCAGTTAAGATAAGGATAGTTATAGTCCTATCTATAACTTTTAAGATTATTAAGGATTAAATGAGACAGTACTTGCAAAGAATTAATCACATTGTGTGGTACTGTGCTCAATAAATATTATCCTTTATTAATTATCCTCCACACATATAGTGTTCCACTTTGAGAAGAATAGGTGTAAAGCACAGTACTAAGACATCTGAACTGCTATTTTCAAACCTAACTGATTCACTTTCATCTTATTTTTTCATTTCTAAAAAATTTGCATGAGGTTAAATTATGTGCAGTATTTCAAAGAGGATTATTAAGAATCTTTCTGCATTGAAAACCTAAGCCTGTTTTGTGGTGACATAGATAAGTGTAATAATAGTAATACAGAACTTTTTTTTTACATGGCTCTGTCATGCATAATTCACAAGCACACTATGCCAATGGATAGCCCAGTTGACACCTATTGTACCTATAAAGATTTTTGAAATTAGTGCTTAGGAAGTTACTGTACCTGTTGAGCATGTTCAGTTTTTCTTGCCTTTAAATGTAAATGGGAAGAGCTATTAAAACAGTTATAGTAAGACTGGTTGAACTTACCACTTGCCACTGCCCCCTGTCCCTTTTTTGAAACTAAGGAGCAGTCTCTTCTTACCAATTTGAAAGTAAGTGATAGTGTTTACTGAATCACCTGCATTTCAGATTAGTTGGAAAAGCTGTTGGTCCATCCATATGTTTTTTTCCACAGATTTCACTTTTGAGTAGACCTTTATAGTTGAGTTTTCTATCCTTTCCCTCTACTTTAACATATCATATTACAGTATTTTATTTTATTTTAGAAATCACTGTATTCTCATATGGCATGATTTGGTATGTTATTATAGTGATGTGAAAAACTATACTCCATTTCCATTCTCTACTACACAGGCAAGTCTTCATTAATTTTGGGACATAATCAGAGTTTTAGGACATAAGGATGTAAAAAGTATACTTTACCTAAACAAAGCCTACTTTAATGTGGTTTTTAATACAAATGTTTTCATATTGACCCCAAATCAGACTTATACTTTGTAATTTCATCAGGATCAATATTCTTTCTTGACATTCTTTGGGATGAGTATAATAACTTTCTTCATTGTTAGTTAGAGTTGGATGTAGCAATATGGAACAACATGGCAGCTCCAACAAAGAGAAATCTTGTGCAGAAGCATATTTTGACAAAGTCATATTTGAAGGAAGAGAGGGAAATGATAAGTTCCTGTTATTGTATAATATTTATGCACATGTAATTTAAAAGGCTTGAGCTCACACTTTAATTAAAGTAGGTTTCCTGTGTGTGTGTGTGTGTGTGTGTGTGGTGGGGTATTTTTCATTTTATTATGTAATGAAGATGAGGAAAAAAGTGATTATGTTTTTAAGTAGTATTGACCAGATTGGTTAATATTTAAAAATTGGAGTTCCTTATCTCAAAATAAATTTATACAAAATAAAATGATCATTTGTTGAAAGCTTTGATTTTTGATAGTAGTGATATGTGCTAATGGATGTGTTCATCTAAAAATTAGAATTTAAAACTAGTTTGGGACCAGTATTTCCTAGCTAATCTACAATTATAACTCATATTCCTTGCTCTTATCCACTTCATGACTGCCTATATAAGAATCAAACTTGGAGCTTTTCTAATGTTTGATTTCTAACATAAGCCCTTTATAGAGCCAAGTTACTTTGCTGAGGTTTGTTTCTAATGCTATTTTTTTTCTTATTTCACTAAAGTGTCATGTCTTCATGTACTCGCTTATAAGGTATAATCTTCCTACCATTGCCACAAGTAATTCCTCATCCTTCACCAGTTTTTATCAGTGGCCGTGGGACGCCACTCTCTTTGCTTATCTTTATCTCAGGTATGCTGTGGAAAATTGAAAGGTTTAGAAATGTGAATTGAAATGAAAAAATTTGGAAACCACTTTGGGGTACAATGGGATCTTTGTGTAGGGGACATCACAAGAACACCTCAGTATTTATTGAGCTTTCTAATGGTAAAGTCAATTAAAAAATGTCTGTCTGAAGTTTATCAGTATTTCAAGACTGCTACTAGATGTTATGGGTAGCAACAAGAGACCTGAACATGATTTGCCCAAATAACAGAATCACTTCAGTTAAACAATTTTAACTTCATAGCTGCCATCTTCTTTCCCCCAGCCAGCATAATATCTAAGGCATATTTCATTTTTAAATATTAACCTTTTTGTTTTGAGATTTTCAAAGAGTTTATTTATCCACAAGGCTGTAAAATTGAGGGCAGGGATTATACTTACTGGTCTTTATTTCTCTACTACTTAATATGCTGTCTAGAATATTATAGTCCTGAAATGATCTCTATATAAATGACATAATTTTATACATCTTTGGATTTTGTTAGGATTGCCAAAGG